ATGGTATTTGGCCAGTAGCATGCTGGGCTAAAGGGCTATCAAGTTTGTTCGAATGAATGACCTTCACTTATATTCAAGGTCACAGGAGTCAAATATGTTAAAAACATTAAACAACTTCTTCTGAATAACCAAAATGCATAGGGTGATGATATTTGGCCAGTAGCATGCTGGGGTAAAGGGCTATCAAGTTTGTTTTGAATGACCTTCACCCATATTCAAGGTCACAGGGGTCAAATATGTGAAAAACATTAAATAACTTCTTCTGAATAACCAAAATGCACAGGGTGATGATATTTGGCCAGTAGCATACTAGGATGAAGGGCTACAAAGTTTGTTTAAATGTATGACCTTGAATCATATTCAAGGTCACAAGGAGCAAATATGCTCAAAATATTTAAACAACTTGTTCTGAAAAACCAAAAGGCTCAGGATGTTGATATTTAGTCAGATCAAGGACTACTATGTTTGTTAAAGTGAATGACTGACTTATATTCAAGGTCACAGGGGTCAAATTTGTTTAAAATCTTTAAACGACCTCTTCTGAATAATCATGGGTCCCAGGATGTTGATACTTTGCAAGTTGCATACTGAGATGAAAGGCTATACAATTTGTTCAACATAATGACTTGGTCGACTTTCAAAGTAACAGGGGTGAAATGTTTTAAAATCTTTTAACAGGTTCTTTTGAATGACTTAAATCATAAATACTGATATTTTGTCTGTAGCTTTATTTTAGATCACTTTTAAGGTTGCAAGTGTGAGATTTATACCAGGTGAGCGATGCAGGCCCATTGGGCCTCTTGTTAAATTGTTGTACAGTAGTAAGGGTGTGTTAGTAAGTTATCGCGATACAATTTCAGTGGCCCCTGGCTTCCCGCTCGATGGATGTACCACAGTAACTCAGTTGTTTACTAGTTCAATTGTTGTACAGTAGTAAGGGTGTGTTAGTCAGTGGCCCCTGGCCTCCAGCTCGTTGGACGTACCACAGTAACTCAGTTGTTTACTAGATAAATTGTTGTACAGTAGTAAGGGTGTGTTAATCAGTGGCCCCTGGCCTCCCGCTCGATGGACGTACCACGGTAAAGTAAGTTATCGCGATACAATTTCAGTGGCCCCTGGCTTCCCGCTCGATGGATGTACCACAGGAACTCAGTTGTTTACTAGTTCAATTGTTGTACAGTATTAAGGGTGTGTTAGTCAGTGGCCCCTTGCCTCCCGCTCGATGGACGTACCACGGTAAAGTAAGTTATCGCGATACAATTTCAGTGGCCCCTGGCTTCCCGCTCGATGGATGCACCACAGTAACTCAGTTGTTTACTAGTTAAACTGTTGTACAGTAGTAAGGGTGTGTTAATCAGTGGCCCCTGGCCTCCCGCTCGATAGACGTACCACGGTAACTCAGTTGTTTACTAGTTAAACTGTTGTACAGTAGTAAGGTTGTGTTAGTCAGTGGCCCCTGGCCTCCCGCTCGATGGACGTACCACGGTAACTCAGTTGTTTACTAGTTAAATTGTTGTACAGTAGTAAGGGTGTGTCAGTAAGTTATCGCGCTATGAAATTTGACTAAAAGCTTTGTTGGTTGGAGCCCGACAAAGTTTGAGAACAAAAATGACCTTGACCTACTTTCAAGATCACAGGGTCAAATATGTCAAACTTTTTAAATGACTTCTCCTGAAGAACTAAAAGGTATAGAACCTTTATATTTGGCTGTTGGCTTCCTGAGATAGTGCCTGACAAAGTTTGAGGATGAAAATGATTTTTGACCTTTTAAGGTCACAGGTGTCAAATATGTCAAAAACATCAAACAACCTCTTCTGAATAATCGAAAGGCATAAAATTATAATACTTGACTGGTGGCTTCCAGGGATTGAGCTCACCAAAGTTTGCAAGTAAAATGACCTCAACCTACTTTAAACGTCACAGAGGTCAACAACATTTCATGGATTTGTTCTGAAGAACCAAAACGAATGGATTCATCAGATTTGGCTGTTTAAGGGTCTTGGGATAGAGCTAACAACGTTTGAGAAGGAAAATGACATTGACCTACTTACAAGGTCACAGGGAAAAATATGTCAAACGACTTCTGAAGAAGAACCAAAAAACATAGAATCTTATAATAATATTTTGCTGGTAGTTTCAACAGATGGAGCCGACAAAGTTTGCTAGGGAAATATTTGAAGTGCAACATAATATTTAATGAGAATATTTTGCTATGACTGCTTAAATATTCAGGTGAGCGATACAGGCCCTCTGAGCCTCTTGTTCTGAAGTATGTTCATGTTTCATTGATTTTAACAATAATTTGGTTTTAAAATTAGATTTCTGCTTGCACTTTGATGTAAATTTTCATTAAAAAAGATGAAACGGCAAACAGCCAGTGTCGACTATTGCTATGTTTTAAAAATGATCAGATTTAATTTATATAAAGTGCCTGATATACATATCATGTACATTTACAGTGTATATTGCATCCATCCATTGAATTATGAATTCATATTTTACCACAAAGATGTATATTGGTATGGTAGGTGTTGATACCTGCAACAGAAGCGCTGTTGAGATACATTATTTTGTCAAATGTTTGTCCGGTTTGAGTTTTGTGACCTCACAAAAGTTCAGGTCATTATGACGAAATTGTATCACGGTTGATGGAGCCACTCAAGGGCTACTTTCAAGTGTCATCATACCGAAATGTCATTAATCAGCATGACCTTGACCCCGGCAGCATGACGCTCCAGCTTGTCACGTTTAGGGTTATCACAATTCTAATAATAGGCTAATGATCTATTACACTGTAAAGATAGGCAACACGTAACAGATGGCAAGATCGAGAATACATTAATAATAACATAGATAGTTTTGCACAACTTCCTTACTTATTGTATTTATGTATAATGTATTAACATCTGTGCAAATCATTTACATTTTATTTACTAAGATCTTGTACAATCAATACCTTCTTGTGCAATAGGTATTTACTAATATTTAAAAATAACGTTTTGGGGTCCCCATCATTTTATATCTATTTGGCATCTGAGTGCTGAAACTTCCAATGGTAATATATACTGGCATTGCAAGTAGACTTGGACTGCTACAATAAAAAGATTGGTAACAAATATGTACATATCCCATTATAGTCAAGGTCGAAGGGGCAAGGCACAGACACCCCCTCCACCCCCTCCACCCCTCCACC